GCCGCACGTTGCGCGCGGGCGTCACGGGCGCCGCACCGCCGCCCGCCTTGCACCCCCTTGCACGAGCGCCGCGCGGGGCGCGGGCGCCCCCGACGCCCCGGAAGCGCGCGGGGGCGGCGGCGCGGAGCACCGCGCGCATCTTGCCGCTGTCTTCCGCGGCCAGTCAGTACGGCTGCGGCAGGCGGCCCCCCGCCCAGCGAAGGCGGTGCTCCCCCGCGCCGTTCGCGCAGGGCGCGCGCTGTATGCCCGCGCGGAGGCCCCGTGGGACGGGCGCTGCCCGCCGCCGCGCGCGCGAAAGGCGCGCACCCAACAAGAGCTCGCCGCCGCGCAACGCGCACCCCGCCGATCCGGCCAGCGCGCGTCCGCTCGCAGAGGGTCTGCCAGGGAGATCCGGCGTTCACCCAATCGCTGCCGTCGCCGGTTGACCAGATCACTCCCGCGCGCAATGCGGGACGTCACCTAGGGCGGCGCCCACAATGGCTTATAAAAAAACAGGGGCAGCCTCCCCACCGTTTCGCACCCCTGCCGCTTGGCCCGTCCCTCTTGCATCGTTACCCCGCATCTCCGCACGCCAGCAATGAACGTAGAAAGCCTTCCCTCGCTGTATGCCCCCCCTAATCACTACGCCCGCCCGTTTCGTTGGACAAACCTTCCTCCACCCCCGCTTGCGTCACAATCGCGAGCGAGGTACCGTTACCCCCAATATAACTTGTTGACAAGTGACAAAAAAGGGGCAGGGCCGTTGACCAAGTTGACACCAACTTGGTCAAGGCCCTGCCCCTTTTTTTCTACTGCCTAACTTTCGGCTGCGCTTGTGCCTGGCACCTCATGTTAAGACACACCCTCAAAAACGGAGCATGTTAAGACACACCCTCAGGGTGTGTCTTAACATGCCCCGTTTTTCTGCAGTTTGCTTTGCTTTGCCCAAAGAGGTGATTTGGCGTGCTATGAGTGGCTCCTACGTTTTAATTTTTGAGTTTAAGAAAAGCAAGGGCTTAAGTATGTGGTTCCGTGAACTCCGATACCCCCCGATCCCCGAGGGAGCGGGTGGCCGTCGGATACTTTATTGCGTCGCGACTACGGCATGCCCTATTGGCTATGTCTTATTACTGTGGTGTGCTGTACTGTCGTCTGGATGTAACCACAAAGAAGCATACGGTATTTGTTAAGAATTTAAAAGTATTCCTGGCAAAACCGGGCAAGGCAAGCAAAAACCAGCCTATTAAGACACACCCTGCACAGCCTGCCCCTCGTCCCCGCACCCACTCTGCATGTGCACTATTGTTCTATACTTGCCTCTATACAAACCTCCGATGCACGACAGCCTACCCGCTTACCGACAACTCCTTGTAGGCCAAACTGTACTGTAACGTCAGGACATTTCGTAGCCCTTACGATAGCCTCATCTCAACGCGAAAGTATACTTTACTACTGCTGCTAAATTGACGTGTTACAGTAGCAGTGTCACCGACGGTGTCGACGCCAACTGCCGCCCTCGTGAAACGAACACGCTCTTGTCTGAAATATCCACTTGCACTCGCAGCCACATCCGCGCCCCAAACATCTTCTTCTGGAGGTCCCCGCACATGCATTTCGCATGCACGTGCCAACGCCATGGGCTCAGGGGCTCTGAAACAGACACTCCGCAACAACTCGCGACCGTGTGCACCATCGCTCACATGAGGCACAGCGCATCCGTCCGTCGTTTTACTGTACTGTGACACGCCCCTTCCCTGCCGTTTTCACACTCCCGCATGCTCACCGTTCACTCAGTACTGTACTTGCAAGTCTTGTGATTGCATTCTTGTCCTTTTCGCCACGGCTCCGCTCGCAGCGTTGATAGATTTTCAACACGATAAAAGCCACTCCCCGTGCAGTCTGTCACCGCTTCTGCTCAGAACTGTGAGCTCCGCTTGTAGCACTTGTCACACGCTTGATGCGTGAGGTGTCCTCCAGTGGGCTGTGTCACTGCTTTTTTGTGCAACTCCATTAAGTTTGCGTGCTGTCGTGGGGCTGAGTGACATCACAAAAATGTATTAATGCACGCAACTGTTTCCGGACACCGCTTCTCGGCGGGCCACGTGAAGTTTGGCTTGGATACAAGGTTGCCACCGGCCAGATCAGCACATGCGGAAGTTCCCCGTCGTGCGATCCCACGGAACAGGACCCTGCGCTGACAAAGAGAAAGCAGAAAACCTCGGGCAGGATGCCCGACTGCCGTTACATATCCGTGGAAGCTACAGCAACTTGTCTTCGCTATCACAACCCATGTCCGACTTGCACGATCGATGTTCATGGACGTACTGTACAGGGAAGGGTCATCATAATGCGTAACTGCACGCTGTGCAATTAGCATACAGTATGCATTACAAGTGTGCGATGGATGCATTCCGCCAGGCGTGCCGTGCATACCCGGTACGGTACAATGCCGCCATGTCCCACATGCAAGTTTTGATTACTTTTTTGTACCCTGCGTGCTCGTACAAAGATCAGCCAGTCATTTTCCGAGATCTTGCTGTGACAGGTCGGCTGCGTACTGCTGTGCGATTGCTACGGTACATGTGTAGCACTTGAACTGTAGTGCCGTGCGTGACGATGAAAGCCTGCAGAACTCTCCTTGGCGCCAGAGAGGGGCGACGGCACCAGTGCCAGGCTTGGTTTTCGCTACGTGTATGTAGTCTGCTGCACTCGCACCGTGTCCACGTGTGCGAAGGGGTTTTTGGCGCCTGTCATACCGATTAGGTCTATTTTGAAGCATATATGTCCTTCTTGCGCTTTCGTCCCATTCGTTGAGATATCGAAGAACCAGTACAGTAACGCTTTCGAAAAAGAGAAAGTTGTTCTTCAAGAAATATATTTTTACGTATGACCTACGAATAGTAGCTACTATCCAGCTGTTTTGAAAAGCAGTCCAATTACTCATAAAATGATTCTTTTCAATGCCAAAAACCTTCTGGCAAAACACGAGTATATTCCCTTCCTTCTTAATTATCGTTTTTTCTGTCGTAAAGAACTGCCTGAAATCTTTATTATTCCCACCTGATCATGAACAAAGAATGCTGTCAACGTCCCCCTCTCAGCGATAGCCATTGGACGATCCTGATCTCCAGCTAGAAGAAGTCGCTATTCGATTTCTCAATCGCATCACGATTCTGTAGAAAAACATTCGCTGTGGTTCTTTATTGTTCACATCTATTATGCGGAAAACGAAAGCACCCTCATCACGCCACGAGTGGGGACACTCTTAACAGCACCAACCCACTTGCACATGGCATTCAAACCAACCGTGAAAGGACAAATTTTCTAAAATGTTTAAATAGTTCTGAAATTTAGGATTTTAAGAACATTTCTGTGAAAAAAAATGAAACTCATCTTTCTGTAATGCGAATTTCTTTGCCGCAGCAATCGCACCAGGCAGTGCCAGCTTCGCGCGAGCGCAGATCAGACCGCCCATCCCGGCGAGACATCATTCGGCCTAACTCTTCAACTCCGCCGCGGCTTGGTACACTGCCTCATCCCCGAATAGCGATGACGAACGAGAAGGGCCTCTTCGAGCGAGTCGGCGACGGCGCGATCCCGGGTACGTTTGTGGGGTTTTCTCTCGGCGCAGCTCGCGCCTATTTGGAGTCGAGAACTATTGCAGATAAGAGCGTTGCCGCCATCGCCTCGGCGAAAAGCGCGAAAGTTCCACCTACGGCAGCTGCGCTTCACGCACTGCGACCAAAAGTAAGTCTAGATGAATTGTTTCATCAGTAACTGCAACCAGCTGTGTTGCCAACATCGCCGATGCTCGCGATGCATATCTCGCCTATCCGTATTTGCAGCGCTTGTCGTCCTCCGCCGCATAGTCTGGGACAAAGAGACATCCATTGCATTTGGCGAAAGATTGTCATTGTGCAGTTGACTAACCCTTGCCATTGCCAACTTTGTTTCGATGTGTTCGCGATTTCTAGCCATTGCCTGCTCTATTTGCGACCACGGCGATATATGGGGTTCTCGGTGGTACATTCACTGGGACAGAAGCGATCGTAGAGTCAATAAGAGGGAAAGAAGACATGTGGAATCGTGTAATCGGGGCGGCAACAGCTGGCTCACTAGTAGGTCTTCGCACAGCGTCAGTCAAGATAAGCGGACTTGCCGCTTTCACCTGCGGTTTCATGACCATGTTTGTGGAGGCCGTTGGCGGCACATGGGGACCTGTTGATGATCCGAGCTTAGAACGAAGAGCAGATATCTATAAAGCGGAGGCATAGCCTGCCCGGGCTTGCGGCGAACACGAAATCAGTGATGTTTTTCCAAACCATGCCTGATACGGCTATGAAGAAGACTTTGGTTCTTACGTGCGATGTAGTCGGGACTCAACCTATCACGTCACAAACGCACGCCTGGTATATGTCCTACCTCTATAGAAGCTGAAGCAGAAGGTCAAATACATAGTTGCCATGTTGTCTCAGGCTCGTTTATAAGAGATCCCGTTTACTCTACTCTTCCGTAGTAAAGGCACGGCCGGGTTTGCCTTTGTCTGTAGTTTCCCGCCCTTGATCTTGCTTCACAAAGGATCAAGGAAAACCCAAACAGTGCGGTGACTACGCTCTGGGGGCTCGGGGCTATCTGCAGCTCCGATCTCTACTCTAAACTTTAGACGCAGTACCCCCGGAAACAAGCACCCAAAGACGAGACCCAATTGAAAAGAGATCCGCGCTAATCCAACAAAGTTAAAGTGATTCTGCAGAACAAAGGCTTAGAACATTCCTCCGCCCATGCCTCCCATTCCGCCACCACCGCCGGCGGCCGCTGCCATAGCCGCCATTTCAGCGCTTTCGTCCTTCGGATTGTCAACGACCATGCACTCTGTTGTTGCCATCAATCCTGCCACTGACGCTGCTTGTTCCAACGCTGTACGCTGTACCTTCGTGGGGTCAATAATTCCAGACTTGACGAGGTCTACATATTCTCCCGTTTGGGCGTTGTATCCGAGCGGGCTCGGTCCGGTGTGGTTCAATAGCCGTTCCACGACAACGGATCCTTCCACACCAGCATTCCGCGCGATAGAGAAACATGGTACTCTCAAGGCCTTGCGAACGATTTCAATGCCGACGTTCTGATCAAAATTTTCGCCCTTCTGATTTGTAAGGGCCTCTCGTGACGCAAGAAGAAGTGCCGTGCCACCTCCTGGTACAATCCCCTCCTCCACAGCTGCACGAGTGGCATTCAATGCGTCCGTGAATCTGTCCTTCCTCTCAGATACTTCCACCTCACTAACACCGCCGACCTTGATCACAGCTACACCGCCGCTGAGCTTGGCAAGGCGCTCATGAATTTTCTCCTTGTCATATTCACTACTTGCGGACTCGATACTATCCCGGAGCATTTCGCATCGATCATCCACGGCTGATCTGTCACCAGATCCGTCCAAGATAATAGTGTCGTCCTTGGTAATTGTGATCTTCTTGGCAGAACCGAGGCCCTCGAGTGTCATGTCCTCCACTTTCATGTCTAGATCACTGCTGACAAGCTGGGCTCCAGTCATGACGGCAATATCTTCGAGGTTAGCTTTGCGGCGATCTCCGAAGCCAGGAGCCTTGACGGCACACACCTTGATGCCAAGGCGGAGTTTGTTGACAACAAGGGTAGCAAGAGCTTCGCTCTCGACGTCTTCTGCAATGATGAGAAGAGGACGCTGAGACTTCATGACACCCTCCAGGATTGGTAGGATTGAGGCGACTGTGGAAACCTTCTTCTCAACACAGAGAATAAAGGCGTTCTCAAACTCTACTTTCTGGGCCTTGGGGTCAGTGACAAAGTAAGGGGAGATGTAGCCACGGTCGAACTTCATACCCTCGACAATTTCTAGTTCATCGCTGACGGTCTTGCCATCAGAAACTGTAATAGTACCCTCGCGGCCCACCTTCTCCATGGCCTCGGCTATAAGCTGACCGACTTGGGCATCGCCATTGGCGGAAATGGTGGCGACCTAAAGATGCACGAAGAAGTAAGGGTAATTGGCACATTGAAATGAAAAGTTAGCAATCGCTTATGAGCTGCTTCTCAAGAAGCGTAGGACTTCGAGAGCGAGAGAGGGCTCTTGCAATCAGAGTAACTATGACTGACTGTTATAGTGTGTCATCTGGAAGGCGCAACAGTCACCAAATCGGCAACTGCTTAAGCGCATCAGAAATTAAAACAAATATCATCATGCAGCAAGAGGCATCAGGAATAGGGACCAACGTACCGAACAAATCTCCTCCTTGGTACTGATGGCTTGAGTCATAGACTTTAACGACTCCAAAACCTTCTCCACGGCGAGATCGATCCCCCGCTTCAGATCCATAGGATTCATTCCTGCGGCGACAGCCTTGATTCCCTCCGAGTAGATGGCCCTAGTCAAGACAGTAGCCGTAGTGGTGCCATCGCCTGCGATATTGTTAGTATCGTTGGCGACGCTACGGACGAGCTGGGCGCCGAGGTTCATGTGCTTGTCCTTAAACTCGATGTTCTTGGCAACGGTGACGCCGTCCTTGGTGATCTGCGGGGGGCCAAAACTCTTCTCGATGACGACGTTGCGGCCCTTCGGGCCGAGCGTGACCTCGACGGCGTCGGCTAGCGAATCGACACCGCGAGCCATCAGGTTGCGAGCCTCGGTCGAGAAGCGCAAGTCCTTGCCCGTGGCCAGGCCGCGCGCCAGGCGCGGGATGTTCCGACGCGCCGAAGCGCGGAGCATTAACGGAAGCATGGCGGACCGATCGAGGCTGGTGAATTGGGCTCAACGTAGGATGGATCGGGAATGTGCTGAGTCGGCTGGGGAAGAGAGGCGGCCAAGGTACAGTGCAGGCTTAATAACTGGGGCTAAAAGGCCTGATCAGAAATTCTTTCCGACGTCGAAGGCGACGGGATCAAGTCACCGTCGGCGACCTGGTGAGATCTGAGGCCCGTTGTGATTGGTGAATTCTGGACAGTATGAATGAGCCTGCATCATCGAGCACGACATCCTATTCCTCCAGAAGCGTCTGCTGCACAATCCTACCAATCACATCAACCCGTCTGAAATGGGGTTACTGTAATGGGTCTTGTGTAAGTTCTCTCCTGGTGTGATAAACGTCAATCTGCCCTCAGTGCGCGCCAGCTGCCCTCCGGGCGAGGCAGATGATACAACCTCCCATCGCTGCTCACCGCCATCTACCCTTCGAAGGGTACGCTCACACTTCCACGAAAGCCAACAGCAATCCCTTCGCCCTGCCGAATGAATGGAGGATGTTCCCCGCCGACTGAGCGGCGCGTACGGTTCCGAAGGCGGTGATCTGCGCAAGCGCACACGCACTGTCACTGAGCAGTCTTGGCAAGGCTACCTCAAAAACTGCGGCAATTGGATTGGGAAGCGGGCCCTCTCCAACGCACGTGGTCGCGTCCTCGTGGACCTCCCCACCCGTGTCATCGCCGAGCGATTTCGCACCTCCCAGGGGGAGCAGTTTATGCTATGGACCACGCGCGTTCGCACCGCAGATGCCATAGACGAAGCGCAGGACGAATGGTCAAGACCGGAGCTTGCAGAATTCGGCGCACTTGTCGCAGACGGTTCGTTCTCCGTCGGTGCAGAGGTCTTTCAAGGGGAGCCTATTTCCGTCGACCAGTCGCTGCTAGATGACAGCAATCGCGTCCGCACGACTCACGCTTTCGACTGGGAGGGCTGCCTATCCGGTATCGTCGCCAGCAGGGAACGCAAACTGCCCGAGGAAGATTTTGACGCAAACGGCAATAGAATCAGCACCAACGCGAAGATGGGCCTCGGGTTCGTCGAACCTGTCGCCTGGCGCAGTCCGAAAGTCCTCTTTGACTACACGCTCGGGCAGTGGGAGGGGCGCGGCGTGTCGGTCGATGCGCGTACGGGTGAGACACACAACCTATCTTCGCGTTTCAAGATCATGCCGGCGGAGGATGATCGCATCGCGGAAAGCTCGGTGATTCGCATCGCAGGCGGCGGGCCGTCGCGAGTTTTTGACGCAGAGGGGAGGCGCGATGAGAATCTGCTCATTTATGCGGAGGCTAACGTGCACAAGTGCTTGTTGCCGGGCGGCATTTCTGTTTCTTCCCCGATAAGGATTCGGAGCGGACGACCATTCGCTCTGGAGACTGCGTTTTTGGTGAGACCTGACTCGCGAAAGAGGGTCATTCGTTTGTACAATAGAGACTGTTACTGGGTTAATACCCTTTTTATCAACGAGCGCAGAATTGGCTAGTGCCTGAGGCTGTCGACTGATGATGCAATACTTTGCAGGATATTCCAGCTAACAGAGCAGTGTTTATAAAGTACCAAATCCTGATCTCGTCATCATGTAACGTTCCATCTCTGTGCTTGTTGACAAATAACGTCTGCCAATTAGCAATGCTTTAGAATATGCCATTCAAAGTAGTGCCAGCATGCTACACACCCCAGGAACTTGTGCAGTCGTCATCAGGACGTACAGTCGTCGGCCATGGCGAATCGCCAGGGACATAGACCATACTGTGCACGACACGTGCCGACAGCTACAGTACTCTAGCTAGAGGACAAGGAAAATCACGCGTCCTCTTCTGGGGGGCATTCCGGTCAGGCTCGCAAGGACCCGTACTTGGACGTTTGGGATGATATCTCGATAGAATCATGGGGCAGGGCACGAAGAAGGGGCGATGTCGAGGGGGAAGGGAGTTGGTCGCACGGGAGAACCGAACTGGTGGCGTCGGGAATGATGCGTTTGGCACACTTTCGTTGAAAGTGCTTCGCGTTCGTTTCATAATTGACCTTTTTTGTGATTTGAAGCTCCTTCGGGGCTCGTTGCGGGCAAGAAACTGCCGTTTTGATTGGTAAATTCAATGATTTTCGCTGTCCTGAATACCGTGTAGAAACCGCCCAGAAGGGTCTACCCAGGGTACTGTATGTATTGATTATGAAGCAAGTCCTCCCCTCCGTCGGCGGTGGCGTAAGTTTTTCCTGCGCGGATGCCCTTCGACCTGGCAAATACATTCTACTCACCAGGCACAGTAAGCTGTGTGTACGCCGAGTCCGAAAGGGATTGCCTTCACAAGACATTGCTCATCGGCCCCGCTCGTGGAGAAGGAGCAAGAAATATGTCACAAAACGAGAAGGCCAAGGGCACGACCCTGCCCGGTTCACTCCGCAACTTTTTAACCGTAACGGAGTCAGATGGTGCCCCGCGCACCGGTCTCGTGGAACCTTCCCCATTACTCAGCCGCATAAAAGAGTTTTTGCCTCACATGGCGGCCGCAAATGAGGCTCTTGAGCACGCAGCCCCCGAGCAGAGTGCTGTCGAGGTAGAGAAAGTAGTGGGGCAGGCAGCAGGGGAGCGTAGCGAACAGAAATCTGGTCCAGTTGTAGACATGGACTTGTACGTTGATGAAAGCATGGGAAAGCTCGTTGGAACCACGTTCGAGGCCGAAGAAGATTCGGAGGATGACGCAGAAAATTCATTTGACGACCAGAAATCTGCACCGGCCCCGCCGCTTATTGAGGTGATTACGGAAGAGTCTAAAGATGCTTCGAAAAGGAAAGACCGCGCTGAGCGGGAAAAGGAGACATCCCCTTAGTGTGATGTGAAGTGTAGTCACTGTTCTATTCGAACTTTACCGCAGGACACCGTTATTTACCTCGTGGCTGCCTTGTCGTTATAATACATTCAGGTCGAAGTCACTCCAGCCTGGACCCCAGATCTTAACAACTCCGTCGCCCCCGCATGATATCAAACTTCGATCCGTTAAGGCTAAACCATGTGTTCCGTATGATCCTACGAATCCTCCTAAACCATTGCCACTCCAGTAGTGTCTAGTCGGTTTGTGGGCAGCCTGGAGAACGTCAAGCTGTAACAGCGTTCTTGAGTCCCACAGCTTGATTTCTCCATTGACACTGCCAGAGACAAGCGCTCGCCCTCTCGGCATCTCAAGTGCGAGACACGTTACTTCATCGCTGTGTGCAGGAAGCTCCGCCACACAAGTCCTCGTTCGGATATCCACGACCGATATCGACCCGTCAAGACCACCCGTGACTACCCGCATGCGATCCTCTAACAAAGTAAGACACCGAGCCTCGAGCTGATGATTCACCGCCGCACTCCAAGTGGCATGGAAGCCGTAATTAGGTTCTCTCGTGTCGAAGATACGGAGCGAGTGGCCTACCGATGGCGGTGCCGTAGGATCACCCACCACAGCTATAGTATGGCGTTCGTCTAAAAAGTCACCCGCACCCGCTGCTCTGTTATCAAATGCCTGGATGTTCTTCGCTCGACTGCCCCTTGATCCACGACCTCCCCGCGAATTGTACAAATCTGGGTCATCCCAAATCGTAACATGACCGGAAGAATAAACAGCAAGCATCGTATTGCCATACGCGGAAAAGCACAAATCCGATACTCGTCCATAGTTGTCTTCACGGAATGAGGCCAAGGATATTGGATCTGCGAAATCCCACAATCTCACCACTCCATCTGTGCCACCAGATGCAAACCTTCGGCGCATCGGGTGTGATGCTAGGGTTGTTGCGTGTACTTGGTGTCTCCATATTGCCTTTCTAGCAGCACCGTTCACAGCCGTCCGTGCTCGACGGCTTTTGCCGAACTCATTTGCGTGTAGCTCTAAAGGAACGTAGGGACCTTCCCCAAACCCGTCATAGCTACTCAAGAATGAGTCTTCTTCCTCTCGATTTTCCTCTGAGTTTTCAAGATCTCTGTCTCTGGCGAGCGCCTTTAGCCTCTCATCTTCTTCCGCCTCAGGGCGGCGACCTCGCTTCGATAAATAATGGCTCCTGAATCCCGCTGGCATCGTCGTATAAGAAGAAGGGACAATTTCCTGAATGCCCTTTGGTGTTGCCACAATTACTGCCGGCGGATCAGTTGCGCTCACACAGAGTGTCCGAAACAGCGCTTTGTCCTCTCTATAGAGAGATGCATGTCTTCCCCGTCCAGACCACGGGCCTTCCGCAGAAGCGGAGAAACGAACGGGGTAGGCACCGAACAAGGAATCTGCAGATGTCGTATCAAACAGTTTAAGCCCCTCTTTGGCAACACTTTGAACCCTCTCTCCTCGTTTCTCTCGCCGACGTCTACGCCGTCGCCCCCCATCTTTTTGTTCAGCGGCTTCGATTGCCGCGCGAGAGGCAGCAGCCGCCATCTCGGCGGCTGCAACAGTCGCTGCTTCAGACAGAGATGGTGCGTATTCTGGGAGACATCCTAGAGTCGACCACAAGTCTACAAACGCACCAGCTGCTTCGTCCGGATGAGCCTTCGTGCTCGGATTTACCTCTAGCCCGAATCTCCGTAGTGGTGTCCACTGTGCGATCGCGTCTTCCGCAATTTGCTCTAATGCCTCTGCGGCACGAATAAGGCGAAAAGATCGATCACTTGATTCGGACTGCCATATGAGGTCGCTATTCCTTGACTTCTTCTTGCTGTCCTCAGCGATCGACCGGGCAAATTCCACTGCTTGCGCGGCGAGATGTGCAGCCAAATATGCCGCGCACGCTGCCGCGAGGGTGGAGCTAAGCGCAGGATGAATGCGAATCACGGCGTAAGGATCGTCGGCATTGACAGAGAGAGTAGGGGACGAGAGGGATTCATCTATAACTGCGGTTGTTGATGCTGCGGATACCCCCGCCATTGATAGGGAGGGTACTTTTCGAAAGCGTCGTATATGCACTAAACCTTTCGAAATTCCAAGGATTGCAGGATTACTTGCGACATGTCGTAAAGCCTCCACAGATATCAGGTCAGGTGCTAGCGAACTGCAACAGGATGTCATTGACGAGCTATCTTCAAACTCACGATCTGCTGGAAGCTCATCCGTTGAGTTGGATACTTGCCATGATAATTCACAGCCCCGCAATGCATACAGCAGCCCCGGCCAATCTCCGCGAAGGAACGCAAAAGCAAACCTGAGAGCAAGCACTGCCCCTTTAAACTCAAGCAAAAGTCGCTTGAAGAGAGCGCTGCGAGAAGACTCGGTCTTTTCAACCAGAAGTACAGCGGCTCGATATTTGCGTAATAACTCAGACAGCCTTTGACTCGAATACGTAGGGTGATGCATAAGAGATAAAGCACCTTGAACGTGGAAGAGACCTCGGGACACCGCCACACGTAGACAGCTTCGCTGAGCCCCTTGGACAACACGACACAGACTAGAGCTGACTTTGTCACCTTGTCGCAGGGCTTCTAGTGCAGCACATGTGGCTGCCATTCCCGCATCAACTTCGTCCTCTTTGGTGAGCTCAAAGGTTGCGTGCTCCACGGCACGCATAGTTATCTTCGCACCTATTGGACTTTCGATGAGATCCTGAATATCACGCAAAAGCAACTCATGCAATGTCTTCTCCGTCGCTCCCGATCGTACGGCACCTGCTAGGCATACTGCTCTCCCCACCAGAGTATCTACAGCCGCCAAAAGCGCTGGATTCTGAAGGGTATCCACCTCAGCAGCAGAAGAACGGGGCCTGTCTGCACTTGCACTTGATCTCATCATTTCGAAATTGATAAAAAGGGCTGCCACGGGGCTGCCATCGCCTATCAACGCACGACATGCCTTTGCACGACATTTTTCCACTTCCGCCTTGGCGATGAGAGTACCAATTATGGGTGGCCGATTCACTATTGCTAGGACATGAGACAAAGAATGAACTACGCTGGGCAGTGATCCTGTAAGTATCCGGTCAGTGTCTGTTAACCTCATGGCTGGCGGGGGATATGTCGCATCACCTGCGGTCTTAAGAGCATCCTCATGTTTCCCGGAGAGCCACAGAGCTATGCTCTTCTTGTGATCGTCTCCACTAGCGCTGCTCGATTCGACAATATGCTCCAAAGTTTGTTGAACATAGTCATGTTCATCAGTTCCAAGTATTCGAGACAAAAACAAAGCCAGCTGGTCATCTTTGATCCGACTTCGAACTAAACTGAGAGCACCGCGCACATCATTGGCTAATATGAAAAATGCAACAGCAAGCTCTAAGCGATGCTTCGATACCAACACGTAAGCATTCTTTCCAGCGGCAAGTCGATTTTCACTAAGAGCAAAATTCCGACGAAGAAAATGTGACATTCGTGTGTTCTGCTGACTTCTATATAGAGCAGAAAGTGCCGTGCGACGTCCAAGGGCAACGTACCAAAGAGCAGCATCATCTGCGTTTCTGTTAGAGTTAAAATCCGATCGAGCGATACGCTCCGCCAAATTCTTACAGCCTGAGCTAGAGCTAACCCACCAGCCAGCACCAAGGTTCTTTGCCTTCTCCCACATCTTCCGCTTTCCCGCAACATAATCGTCGCCCGGTTTTAACGGCGGCAGGAAATGGTCCATCAATGCGTCCGAAGACGACGAATGTACCGCACTCGCGACTACTGGAAGAGGGACGAGGACAGTATCAGAGACTTCCAGATGGCTAGCGGCCATGAGCGCATACTTTGCTCCTGAAGAATCCAGAGACCTGAAAGTTTGGCGCAAAGAGGAAGACGCTCGCGCGATTGCGGCTAGAACCCCCTGTTCGGAGCGAGTCATTCCAGCAAGTGAGACAATCTTCAGTCGAGTCGCTAACTTTTCAAGTTCATCCCTACCACTGTCAACGGCTTCGTTTTCACTTGACTTCTCGTTGTCCTCATTTCTGCCACCAAACGATGAGGAAATTTTTGCATCGGACTTTGCCATGAGGCGGGCAAACAGACTTTTCGCGTCTGTTTTCATCTGAAATGGAGACATTGCGGTTTCTAGCTGGTGCCCTTGCATCGTTGGGGTGTCCCGGGGTGCATCTTCTTTGTCTGACATGAGCATCGATAATGACGGGGGAGGTGGTATTAGGCCCCTACCAGCACCATAAGAAGACTCCGATGCTTTCCGTTTTGTCACCGTCGCAACGAAGTTGTGCAACTCGTCCAATCCAGCCAGGACTTGCCATGCTCGCCCGCCTGTAAGTAACTGCGAAAATACAGCTTTCGATGGAGAATATCCAGCAGCTCCGGACATGAAGCTCAGCGGGTGAGAATCAGGTTTTGTCGTAGCCAGAACAGAAACCCCTCTCCCATTCGTTGCAACAAGCACTCCTTTTCCAATATGCCTCAGTGCGTGTTTTTGCAGCGCAAGCCGGTCATGTAGAATCTCTCCTTGTTGCAAGCACTCCCACGGAGCACCTAGCACTCGTCGATACCGATCAAAGCCACCGTCTCGCTTTAAAACGGTTACAGAAAAGTTTCCGTCGTGGTCATATCCAATTGATGCTCCGCAGTCAGCCGATGTTATCGCGTCGCATGGTACGTCCGGACTGACAGAGGGTTGTCGGTGACCCTTAGCCTTTTGTCCGTTTATATCTAGTTCGATATGCCATGACGTGTTGTCTGACGAACCGCGTGCCCAAACCCTTGTTCTTCCGTCCGCCTGCATCACAAGAATGCGAGATCCACCTCGAATCACTTCAACTTTTTCCACTGGTAAACCATCTTCGTCGCCGCAACGCAAATGATACAATTCCCGCAGCCAAATGACACCCTCGTCTGACTCTTCATCTTCACTATCGTCACCATCACTCTCGCCAGCATCCATCTCCGATTCTGTCACGCTGTACACATGCGCAGAACCATCTTTGCCACCGGTTACGAAAATCTGACGGCTTAGGCTTGCTAGTTCATTCGTCGACGCGCATGTAACAAACTCACTACGGCCCCCGATAAATCTCAGAACACTCGGCTCCATGACAATCTCTTCTTTCCGCCGACGCGCGACACGCCACACACATAGACGACCCTCATCTCGGACACCGATGAGAGCACAGCGAGCACTGCTGACAGGGTCAGAAATTGACTTACCAAGGGGCATTGCGATGAGTTGACCTACGGTATCGCTTTGCCCTCTACCGCGTGGATGGCAAACGGCGACCTGCTTGGCAATCTGAATATCATGTGCAGAAGCGTTCTCCTTCTTATTCACAAAGTTTACAAACTGAAAAAGTCGCAGGGAACCGAGAGCCGAATCACATGTGAACACCCCGACTTCCCAGAGATTTGGTGATGCCACTCGGGCGGGTGCAAAAGCCACCGCTGTATGGGGTCCCGGTAGGGCGGCAACCGCGGTGAGGGGCTCCCATGCACCTGTAGCGACAGTGGTTCGCCAAAAGACCACATCGCCATTCTGTCCACGACTTGCTAGCCATCCACCACTTGAAATAGCATGATTCGAAGTCTGCTCGCTTGTGACTAGGTCGACCACATCTGAAGAATGTCCCACCCCTATGCGTGCCCGACAAACCGCGGGCATATTCAATGTAGGGCAAATATCGTATCGAGCAAGGTATGGAAGGCCGTTTCGCACTGCAAGAACAAACACTGCGACCAAGTTGGGCGGTTCAGGGGGTTCTGGACTCCGTAATCTTCGCTCACCGTTAGAAATAGCGTATGACTTGACAAGGCCAATCTTGTATGTTGACGCCGTGGTGAGGGGAATTGGAGCTACCGCCTTCATTGCCGCTACAGAAACGTCTCGCAGTGGAAGCTCTGGGGGTTTCAAGTCATCGTTCTGCTCGTCATCTGTGCCAAGATAGGGGTCGCCTGTACCTGGTTCAATTCGTGTAAACTCAGCCCTCGGGCGATCATCCAGGCCCCGTACCCGCCATGCGCACGCATTTCCGCCCGCCACACGAATGATCCAGTGGTAACAACGGCTTGGCTTTGGAGCAGTACCCTCGGCCAGGAGGGGGTGTGCCGCCGTTGTCGCTTGAGCATCGCCTTCATCGTCAGCTACACCACCACCACCACCCCAACTAAGAAACGTGGCTCCCGCTCGCGGCGTTCGTTCAACATGTGGACTTCGGGCAATTTCTTCAATCCAAGAGTCTGCGCCTGATGCCAACTTTGTGTTCCCCGGTATGCTGACACGGTGGCGTTTGCTCGATGCCCTGACCCACAGGCGAAGAGTTCCATCGCGATCTGCCGTCATCAAGGCAGGGTTACCTCCTCCCCTCCTTTTCCAGTCCATCGTGGAGATGCCGGAACGGCCGTGAACAATTTCTGCGCATGGTAGCTTTTCTGTGGGTAAGATAGGACGACCAATTGGCAAGGCCCAAACGTAGGATACACGACTATACAAGCCGGACGCGGCAATAAACATGGCGTTTGGAGATATAGAGCCGATCGAGAGTGGCTGAGATGGAATTTCAGTGGACGGTATGGTGCAAGCATCGCAGTACTTGACGGGCATGTAAGAAGTGTCCAACGACCACACTATGATGGAGTCAGCGATGACACATAGGCGGTCACCATCGGCATTCCAAGAAAGAGAAACGACAGATTCCTTGACGCCACGCTCTTCCAGATCCAACACCGTCTCGACGAAGTTCTCAGTATAAACGTTATCAGCTTCCTTGGCTCTGTCCGACCAGCCATCGAAGACGACGACGAGGTTTCCGTAAGCAACTGCAATCGCGCCATCGCGCTCTCGAAAAGCCAAAGCTGTAACCTTCGCGGAAAGGTTTGCCCTTGGACATCTCAATCTGCGTAGTGCATCTAGATCTGTTCCACGAGCAATGACGAGCTCCTCGGCGGCTGCGTATGCGACGAGTAAAACGCCTCGGAACAGTAAGACATCAAGTCCTGCCGGGTGCGGAGAGACCGGTGGACACGCATTTTGCAGGACATGAAGTCCAGACGGCGGCGGACGCAAGGCTCGAGCAAAGTGCTCTGAGTCAGCGTGTTCATCGCGGCCGGCGAAGTTGGATGGGTATGGTGTGGGACACACTTGTTGTGACATAGTGATTGCTTTGATTCACACATCGGACATGATGCGCTACTTGTCGTTCAGGAATGTCAAACAGACTGCAAGGGATCTAAGCAATGAGGAGGTGCGTTCAACTCAACTGTTCTTTCGCGGTCCGAATACCTTGCATGGCGTCCGTTGCTGTTCTTCTCGCAAACGTGTGCTGATGAATCGTGCCAAGGCTTTGAACGACTGCCTCTTTCATGTTTCTTCGACTAAGTCGTGGACACGTGTAATAGTACAGTACATTACTGCCGTGTTTACAATCTAGGCCTACAGTATTCAGCAACCCTCCTTATTATTATGGTGATAAAATAGCGCATCCGCGCCTCACGGTACCCTTCTCACTGGCTCAATGTGGGACGCATAAGAAGTTATGATAAATATGCGAATGCAGTCCAATCGGTGGCACTCATTGTACACAATACAGAGCGTACCTCCTCAATAGTGCAGTTGTGAGCAGTGCGAACCGTCAAAAGCCCTTTTTAATTAACGAAAATCGCAACTAAATATGCGAATATCTAGTGTCTGAGAGACGATTATTTGTCCTCAATTGAGGGTGTGTCTTAACAGGCTGGATTTTGCTTGCCTTGCCCGGTTTTGCCAGGATACTTTTAAATTCTTAACAGATACCGTATGCTTCTCAAGCCCTTGCTTTTCATAAACTCAAAAATTAAAACGTAAGGGCCAATCATAGCACGCCACATCACCTCTTTGGGCAAAGCAAAGCAAACTGCAGAAAAACAGGGCATGTTAAGACACACCCTCAGGGTGTGTCTTAACATGCCCCGTTTTTGAGAACGGGATTATACTCAATTGAGACCAACTATTTTAGTTCTTAGTCCAACGAAACGAAGTATTTTAATCAGTGTTCTAAAGACAGGTGAGCCTCATAGCAGTCCCGCCCTGTCTTCGTATGGCAGAAGAAGCGCTCAAGGCCTCTTCTGTCACGGCAAAAGCCGCAAATATAGGAGGATTTGTACTTTGTACAAACGCGACAACGGCCTTGCGCGGTATGACCGGCAAGCTCTCCATTCACAGAGCGACGTCGTTTCGTTGGCGTCAGGAGGGTTCCCCGCCCACTGAACGGGGAAATCTCCACAGGCTCTTCAGGAGGTGAGGAACGACGCGCAAGCTGATCGAAGGAGTTGTCAATCAGCTCTTCGGCCAACTTCTCATAAAAATGAGCCTGACTCAAGCCAATTTGAAATCCCATTCCAGCCTTGTAAAGCTTCCATGCGTCAACTATACAGAACCCAAGAATGCCCATGTTAACCCGCTTGTCCAAGTCGCGAACGCGGATTTTGCGTTCAAACTGCAAATCGTCCTGACGACATCGGTTGTGCTAGTCAATGGCTGCGCTTTAAGCATAATACTTTTCCACTACTTTCGGTTGCTCTACTTCTATATTCACTCGCCGGTGTCCCGAAACTGTCTGATTCCAGCGGTATCTGCTGTATGTCACATCAAGACCAGTAGAACCTGATATTGAGATGAAATAGCGTCTATTACGGTCCACTCACACCAAAGCAAGTATCTCACCGTGTCCACCGTCAAGATCGCTGACCGTAATAATACGCTGGCCTCGACCAGTCAGCTCTCGCTCACTTAGGAACTTCATAAGGAACCCTCGTGTTACGGTCTTCACGACGCTGCTAAAGTGTAGACCGAGATTTAGCAGCGTCACAAAGGGCTGTACGGAAGCGAGGTATCAGTCCGCACACACGGTCCTTTTTGTTCCTTGCCACGGCTCAACCAACCGTCCCAAAACTTTTTGTGCCGTGATTTGCGGTTCATTCGTACGCTCTTCCGCTTTCATCATCAGCCGTCGAGACAACTTCGAGCCTCCATATAATTCCTGTTGTGCCACACGCAATGGTTTGCACCTCACAACCATCTTCCGGTTTTCTATCAATGCTCACGTAATGCGGCAACCCCATGTCTATCCATGCGCCACCAATCCCGTACCAGCGAATCATTGACTCATCAACACAAAGCCTCTCAGACGTTGTTACATGTCTTTAGTGCAGTGTACTTCCACACCGCCGACGAGGGCGTAAATCTTGCTGTAGAAAACGCGACGCAACGCACATTCACCACCAGGGTGTTCGAGTCCCTCTGTCCGTGTAACACAGAGAGTCAACTCAGGGGAGTCGACGCGGTACCGCGGGTTGATCGCGGTGTGCTCGTAGGGGTGCACTCCAGCGGAAGTGCGCTAGAAAGAGTAAACAACAAGAAGAAGAAAGAAGAACGAAGGAGAAAGATAGTGTAGAAATGTAGAAAATAGCGGAAAAAGTAAAGGAAAAACAAGAAAAAGGATGACGACGAAGGGTGCAGGTACCAGACTTAGCCAACTAGATAGGAGCCGTAGAGGATCCTACCAGAGATGCGGTCCGATCACCTGATGCCTCTTTACTGTAGCGCCTTCCGATACTCGACCTATATAGGCCGAGCGCCGTCGCCGGCGTCGGTTATTAAATGGGTAATTAATAATTAATTATCGTCAATAGAATTGCCACTTGGCATTAGACGCTAATTAGCGTAGAAACTTGTGGGCACCACGTATGTATACGTGTCGTACACGTGTTATACACGTATCATATACGTGTCATACGATTTTCATACACGTGTGGCCACATGTGGTACACGTGGGGTACGTTCCCAAGTGTGCGCGCACAGTACACGTGTGGTATCATCCAAAGTGTACGCGTGCACTTTGGATGAGCACACGTGTGACACACGTGTCAAAGGCGGGGAGCGCGGCCCCACGACGGCGGTGACCAGGCGTACAGTACAGGGTCACTGCACTACAATGTCGTCGTCTGTGGTCATTGCAGGCCTCCACAAAATCATTTCTCAAAGCCCAGCGGTGTTCCACTGATGATAGACACGCGTCCTCATCAGGCTGCGTACTGTAGGCAAGACAGCTAAACAGGGTGTCGAAGCGTGTCCGTCCTATAATTTCTGAAAAGTTTGGCAGCATACAGTATTTTGTTTTCGATGTTTTGCTCCAGAAGTCCCGGCGACTGCCAAACTCAAACCTTGTCATTAGGACAAGCAGAAGACCAAAGAAGCGCAAAACCTCTCCGCATGAAGTAGAGCGATGCCCCTTCCCCAGCAAGACTTTGGTTGTCATACTCACAATCCGAGAAAGATGCAACATAGGAAACGTCGAATAAAAATACCGTATTATGGAATTATCTTCGTTGGCAGCACTTATACTTCCCGCCGAAAGTTTTTGTCCTGCCCACCCGAGAAAGTTTCTCCCGAGATCTCATAAATGGGAGTTTAACTCCCAGTTATGAGTTCTCGGGATACCGTTGAGGCAGTTTGGAACAGGTGCCACTTTCCATCGAACACCATGGGCTTTGACATCCTCGGTGCTACACCCGCGATCTGCTCGAGTGCCGGACGTCTGGAGGTCCACGAACGCCGACTGCGTTCCATCCCGACTGCTGTAATTTGTTACACCATCTAACAAAACAGGTACACTTGACCAAGTTCTGGGCTCCGCCAAGTCTCCCGAGTCACAGTTTACAGGAGCCTGCCCTGTTACTTCTAATTCCAAAAGGTTGGAACCTCGTTTGCGACTCGAGACATTGGAGTCTTGCGTTTCAGTTGACGCATGTTCCACAGGGAAGGAAGGTTGGGGTTCCTTGCCAATGAGATCTACAACTGCATTCGGTCGAGTAGGTAGGAGACACGATCCAGATTTGACATTACGGAGCAGCAGTTCCCTTCTTCACTTCACACTGCCTACGGGCTAAGCTGCCTCGATTAGTGTAGATTTCCTCTTGGATCCTTGCCTTATACGGACACCCTCGACCACCCAGCGAGCGTTTTTGACGTTTTTTTCAACAGTGAGCCGTACCGGCGCTGACACTCGGCGTCAGTTAGAATGAAAGTTGCTTTAGCGTGCACTGCAGCTCCCAGTTGCTTGCGGGGATCTGAGATGGAATTCATGTCACAGTTAAAATACGGCTTCAGTGCGCTTCCGTGCGCAAGAATGGCCTTAAATCCGTTGATAAGGGAAGTGCTTAGGCGGATCTTATTCACAAAAAGGCGCGCTTTTGGATGCATAGTTTGGGTTTTACGTAGTGGGGCGAAGTTGCGTAGGACCTCGCGGCAAACTGTGTATTCATGTGAGACGGAAGTCCTCACATGAGTACATGTGTCACTCAGATACTAGTGTCTATCCACCATTGTCCTCATATGCGGACAGTATTCGACTTAGTTTATTCTTGACTTTCGCATCCCCGACAAGAAAGAAAATGATACCCCCGCCACCGTACTTGACTTCTGACTTGGGACCAGAAAGAGCTTTGTGAGAATTGCATGTTCTCGGTTGTCGTTTTGAGATATGTCTGGAAAAGAAGCTTTTTTAAACCACCCTGCAACCGCAGGTAAAGTAACTTCGAAACCAAAACAACAGTTCAAAACGCAACTTGCTCCTCAATTTTTGTTATATTCTTAAACTTTTTTGCGGAATCAAAGCTGCTATCCCGGTGGTCTGCAAGATTACATTGCCGGAAACAAGCACGTTCAGGAACTAATGCTCAAGGTAGAGTTTTGAATGTTCAATTAATTTATATCTTTTTGCAAAAGAAGACCTGTCCTCATATGAGGGCATAGCCGTCTGTAGTATAACACCCAGCGGTCAACCGACCACGAAGGCGGGAGCGGGTTCAGGGCGTATACTGTAGCTCGAAGTGCGGTGTCACCGGGCGTACGTGCCAATAAGCGAATGGGAACGTGTCCCTGGTAGCGCGGTAGAGTCTTGAATGGGTTGGACACCATAACAAGCAGCGGCTGGCAGAGCGACGGATCGACGCGTGACTCGGCACCCTTGCGGTCAGGGCGACGACGCGAAGTCTGGATCCTGGCACGGAGCCGCGCTGTCGTAGCGCCTCACCCTCGAGTGGGTGGTCGGAACGTAGAACGGAAAACGAAAGGGAAAAAGGCCAAAACACCTACAAAAAAGAATGGAAAACGCA